AAAAAATATATGTGTATGTATATTTATAGATATATATATAAAATATGTGTATTTATATACATATATAATAAATAAATAAAATTAATGTTTAGTGATGTTACATGGTCACTGTTAGCACCGACTTTTTATGTTAATCTTGTAACCTGTGACCTCACTGAGCTCACTTTGAGTTCTAGGCGTTATTTTTTAACCTTTTATTGTTGTTCTTGCGCATTCTCAAATAGAGATAGTTTTACCTTTTGCTTTCAGTCCTGTGCTGGTGACAGCAACGTGAAAGCAGACATTTATAGGGAAAAGCATCCGTTTTTTTTTGTTTGTTTGTTTTTTACCATTAATTATACTATCAGCTGTAGGATTTTTTAGATGTTCTTTATCAAGCAGCGATAGCTTCCCTTGCTTATTATCTTTTCTGAGAGTTTTTATTATTCACGGGTGTCTCATTTCTTCAAATCACTTCTGCGCAAAAGCATTTGATCACGTGATACGTCTGTATTAGTAGGCTGCATTGATTGATTTTTGAATCTTGAACAAGTCTTGTATCCCTGGAATTAACTCCACTTGGTCAGGGTGCGTGATTGTTTTTATATAACCCTGAGTTCAATTTGCTAATAGTTTGATATGGATGTTACATTTATATTCGCGAGGGATATGGGTCTGTAGTCGGTGTCTTTGCTTGGTTTTAGGATCAAGATTTTACTTGACTCATAAAATGAATGAAACGTTTTCCTGCCTTTGTTTTCCGGAGGAGATAGTATAGAATTGGTGTTAATTCTTCTTTAATCATGTGGAATTCTCCAGTGAAAACATCTGGACCTAGATATCTTTTTAGAGAGTTTCTTTGAAATCTTTACCCGAGGATATTTTTCCATTGATTTTTTTTCAGATAGAGTGGGAGGGAGGGACAGAGAGAGAGAGAAACCAATGTGAGAGTGTCCATCCAGAGTTCTATCCGGTCCCTTGAATTTTGACATTTTGTTTTTATTTCCACTCAGTTCAACCAGTTTTTTCTTTTTCTTTTACTTTTTGGTAAGATATCCTCTTGAACCCCCTGAATAATTTAGAAGTGTTTTTATTAATTTTGCAAGTGTTTGGACCTTTTTTTTTCTTTTTTGTGTGTTTGTTTGTTTTTCTAATCCTCACCCATGGATATTTTTCCATTTTTGTTCAGATAGAGTGGGAGGGAGGGAGAGAAACATCAATGTGATAGAGACACACTGACCAGCTGCCCGCTGCATGACCCCAACCAGGGCCGGGATGAACCACCATTGAGGTACGTGCCCTTGATCGGAATCGAACCCGCGACTCTTTGGTCTGTGGGGCGACCCTCTAACCACTGAGCTCACCAGCCAGGGCTCATCTTTTTCTTATTTTATTTTTAGCTTGATTCCGTTGTGGAATCGACACACCACACAGTTTCACTTCTAAATGCGGCTCATTTACGACTCAGAAAATGGTCTGTCCTGGTCTCTGTCCCATGCACATGGGGGAAAAAAATCTGCCTTCTGCTGTTACTGGGTGAGGTAGCCGCTACATGTCAATTCCATCTTGTTGGTTGACGGTGTTGTTGCTGATGTTCTGTCGAGTTGCTTAGTCATCTGTTGAGAAAGGAGAGTTGACGTCTTGAGCTCTAATGACAGATTTGTTTAATTCTCTGCTCTCTTGGTCTCCGCTCTCATATTCTGCAGTTCTGTCTGAGCATCTGCATACAGGGGTGCTGTACCCCCTTGTCGTGTTGACATTTAAAATTTTTTAAATTTAAGTTATTTATTTTGGAGAGAGTGGAAGGCAGAGGGGGAGAGAGAGAGAGAGAGAGAGAGAAAAAACATCGACGCGAGAGACACATCATCAGTTGCCTCCCGCATGACCCCAACCGGGGCCAGGGATCGAACCTTCAAGCCAGGTACGTGCCTTTGACCAGGAATCAAATCTACGACCCTTCAGTTCACTGACCACTCTAACCATGGAGCCAAACTGGCCAGGACGTGTGTTGACATTTTCATCATCATATACCCTTCTGTGTCCCTGCTCACGTCCTTTGTCCTGGTGATGACTTCAAGGGTTATTCCCACCAGCGTCACCACAGACGTGTGAGCAATGCATTTTCCGGGGTGCTGCCTTGGCTAGAATGTCACTAGGCAACAGCAAGTGTTCAGCTCCCATTACAATGTTATAGGACCACTGTCATACATGCCGGGCCACTGCCTTGCACAAAACTTGTTCTGTGACTCATGGCCACATGGTTCTCTATAAAGATATGAATATATATACTGAGATGCATACATATATACATATATATTACCATACATATATACATATATGCACATATGTATACATACATAGTGCATACACAACATAAATATGTACACTATATGATTTATCACACATTATGACTGTTTATTATATTTTATGTATTTATTACTTATCACATTTATATTATATATTACATGTATTTGTATATTTTAATGCTAGAGGACAACATATTTGAGAAAAACCCCAAAAATGCACTAATATAAAACCTTTAAAAAGGATATAAAAAAATGCAATTCCCCCAAAAGTTGGCCCAAGATATAGATTTATCTGCATACATTCCTGTTACGGGTTCAGTCTGGCACGTGTGGGTGGTACGTCTGCACGCGTTCCCGTGCTCCATAAGGTCACGTGCACCAGAAGCCGACAGAGGCATGGGCCTCGTTCTCAATCAGACTGTACACACTAAGGATCCAAGCGAGTTAAGGGAATATGTAAAGATTGACAAGTGCGGGAGGAACATTGCAATTGGAGATGAAGTTATCAAAGTAGACATTTGGTAGAAATTAAGATACGCTTCATTTATTGATTGATTTTAGAAAGAGAGGAAGGGAGAGGGAGAGAGAGAAGAAAACATCGATGAGAGAGAACATTGACTGGCCGCCTCCTGCATGCCCCCCACTGGGGATCAGGCCCACAACCTGGGCATGTGCCCTGACCGGGAATCGAACCGGCGACCTCCTGGTGCATGAGTCGATGCTCAGCCACTGAGCCACACCGGCCGGGCTAAGAGAGACTTTAAAAAAGTGTCTCATTTAGTTGGATGTGGAAGAGTTGGAATTGTTTCAGGTGTGAGAAACCAGTGACGTGACTAAAGCCTCGGGAAACGTTTAGTCCGCTGTGTTTGGAGGAGGACCGCGTCGCTGTGGCGGGACCCCAGCATGTCCCTGGTGACGGCACGAGCCCGCAGCGGAGGAGGGGCCGGGCCCCGTGGGGGGAAGACCACCTCTTGTTTGCTTCTGGGCTCCTGCCAACTGGACCCTGTAGGGAAGCCCGTCCGGTGATGCCCACGGGGCACTGACCAGCAGTGGGACCCGTTGCCAGCTTCTGACTCTGTACCTGGCACGGCAGAAGCTGTGGCTTAGAGAAGCTGTTGGCAGTGCCCATCTGGATGGTTCTTTAGCTCTTGCGATAGCCCAGGTGAGGAGCAGCAGACCGCGACGCGTGTTCTCCTTTTACCGTCTCTCGTCCCCACGGTGGAACGGCGGGATTAAAATGTGTCAGCCGCCTTTATTTGGGGACCCGCTGCTAGACAGCCCTCTGTGTTGTGTTTTGTTTTTGTTTTTCGGTATGCCCCCCTCTTGAGATAGGACTGTGAGGTCAGGGGGCTTTTCCAGGGTCCTGCAGCCAGGCTTTACCCCCAGGTCTGTCACATGACACGGCACTGTCAGCTCGCGTCACCCAGCATGGTGACAGTTAAGTCTCAGGCACTCCGTGTCCTTGCTGACGGGGGCTCAGGCTGCAGCCGAAGCAGCGCTCGCGTCCCTTGACTCGGTTTCCTTATCGCCCACAGTTCAGCCTGGAGAGTGTGATAATGCAATGCCCCGGTGCCATGGAAACAGCTTCACAGGGCTCCCCCTTCTCGCTCAGCCAGCGCCCCCTCCCCCCGCCAGACCGATCGGGGTACGGGGCCCCGGAGAGCCTGGGCGCAGCTCCCCTCCATCAGTGGGCAATTAGGAGACCGGCCCCTGGTCCGTTTCCCGAGCTGACGTGTACCCACACCATTGATGACCCATTTTCCCTGTTGATGGCAGGCAGGTGGGTGGACGGCTCCGTCTGATTTCTGAGCTGCTTGCCTTCAATAAGTCACCGAGCAGGGCCCCAGCACGCTGTTGATCCTGAGGGGTTCAGTCCTAAGTGGGGGTGATGAGAATGTCTTCAGGAAAGGAGGGACCGCCTGCATTGCGGGAGATACAGTTCCTTGGAGGGTACCCCCTTGTTCACATCCCACAGTCAAGGTTTGTTCTCTACTCCTGCCGCCCCCTCGATCTCTCCCCGGTCCCCCCAGCTCCTGCTCCATTTCTGAGTGACTGAAGGGAGGTGGGGGAGGCTGGGGGAGCGCACAGGGGAGAACGCTGTCTCCCCACTTGCTCTCTCATCTCTGAGTTTCGACCTGGATTCATTTTCTAATTCCAATAAACCATCCATCGTGATGGAGGAGAGCTAGGCCACAGGACTCATGCTGTTAGCGTGGGGGGCAGGAGGGATTCCGAGTCCTACCTACCCCAACCCCAATCCCGTCGTTTCCTGGAGTGGACGCACCGCCACCTCGGACCTCCAGGCGGTGGCCGCCTCTGAGCGTCCACTTTGAGCCCAAAGAACCCCGAAGGTCTCGTCCACGTCTGTGGCCGGAAGCCGCCTGGTCGGACTGAGGCTGCACACTGTGCGCAGAGGAACAGGGAGCCTGGGTGTGAGATTTCCTTCCTCTGTGTCGGGGAGGGGTTGAGGGCAGGGGCTGTGTCCCCCGCTAGGGCCGGATGGGCGCTCCGGAGCGGCCCCCTCAAAGCTGAGGCTCGCTCTTCCTTCTGACTTCTTTGTACACGTTCCTTCCTGTGGGTAACTTTTCTTTCCTCTTCCTCTCTCCATTTCCCCTCTGTCTGTGTCCCCCTCCCCTCTGTATGTCTCCTCCCGGTCCCCCTCCCTTCCTTCTTCTCCTTTCTTTCTTGTCCACGTGGCACGGGGACCCACGGCAGACGCAGCAGCGGCGGCGTCACCCCCGAGCTGGACGATGAGCCCCCCTGCATGGAGGAGATCGATTACAGTACAGACGGCGGTTCCGACCAGGAAGAGAGGTGCTCTGAGCTGGACCGGCAGATCCGGGAGTGGGCCTCCCACCCCGACGAGGGCGAGGAGGAAGAGGAGGGGCCGGGACAGGGACGAGGAGCCGGCCCGTAGCCCCAGGTTCATGGCGACTTCCGTGCCCGCAGCCACTGGACTAGGACCGTGTCCTCCGCCATCAGACACGCACGCGTGTAGGGACAAAAAGCCAGCCCCTGTGAGCTCAGCGACCCCATTTCCAGCTTTTGTTGTAGTTTCACTACTTGTGGAGACTGGCTACTGTATCGTTATATTCCTTCACATACCTAGTTCGCAGAGCAACATTGTGTCACAGTTTAGACCCAGGACCTAGGAGCAAGGCATGTGTGCTGTGGTGTGAGGAGTTGTTATTGCACCTTTTTTCCCCCCAATTTTTTATCCTCACCCGAGGACATTTTTGCATTTATCTTCAGATAGAGCGGGAGGAGGAGAGGGAGGAGGAGAAGGAGAGAGAGAAACATCGATGTGAGAGAGATACATCAAGGGGTTGCCACCCACATGACCCCAACCGGGGCCGGGGACAAACTGCAACCGAGGTACGTGCCCTTAGTGGGAACCGAACCCAGGACTCTCTGGACCGCAGGCCAATGCTCTAACCGCTGAGCCAAACCAGCCAGAGCTGGAGGCACCTTTTCAGCCCAAATTCCCTTGCTCTAGTCCGGAATCACACATCCATCCTTGGTACTGGGGCCTTCAGATTCCCGTAACATGCATACGAGGTCTAAGGAAAAGAACGAGACACAGTTCCAATCCGAGCCTACAGCTCCCTTCCCGTATGGTTGCTATTTCTGCTCTTACACAGAGGATAGTTTAACACTGTTGCTCTCTCATGGGCTCCGAAAGTCAAGAAGATAACATTGTTGCAGAGATCAATTCTGGGAGGGGCAGCAATGATACTAATTCACGCTCCCCCATTTACACCTGCGCCCCAATGATCTGTGCTACTACCTTCTAGTCTTCTAGTATGTTTCTGAGAGGAAGTGACCGGGACAGGTGAATTTCTAGGTGGCATGTCCAGGAAAAGCCAACAACTGGGACTGTGTATCAATTCGTCGATGTAACAAATACATACTCTGCACCTGCCACAGGTCGTGCGCTTTAATCAGCTCCAAAGATGTAAAGCGAAAAGACACTTTGTGTCCTTGTCTCACAGTTCGGTGGGAGAGATGAACAGAAAACATTTTATTTTAATGCAGCAGCTACTGGATGAGAATGTGGAGCGGGACAGAGCATCACGCGGGGGGACAGAGCATCACGCGGGGTCACCGAATCCAAGGCGGGGAAGGCCTCCCCAGGAACATGATGACTTCGGTGCTTCTTGACGGCTGAGCTAGAGTTTCCTCCTAAAAAGAAAGGCACAGACATACTAGGAACTGGGAAGAGTGTGTGAAGACCCTGTGCCGGGGTCAGTGAGGAATAAAATGTTTGCTGTGACGTGTTTATATGGGAGGAGAGGAGGAGAGGGGCAGACGTTGAAACGGGAAAGACGGACATCGATGGGATGGAGCAGCTTGTGACGTGCCGGGATGCAGAGGCTGAACTTGATTCCGTCTGTGCCGAGGTCACGGGGTTCCCAGAAGAGGCCTGTCCAGGACCGATGGCAGCAGGCGGGCATCAGTATCAGCAGTACCAGCGCACGGTGGTTTCTGACTGCTGGACGCCCCTGCTATGCTGGTTGTTAAATAGTCTGAGTCGGCACCCTGGGTGTGGTATGATCATATTTTTATTTAGAGAGGAAGGGAGAGAGAGAGAGAAACATGGATGAGAGAGAACATCGATTGGCCGCCTTCTACATGCCCCCCACTGGGGATCGGCCCACAACCTGGGCATGTGCCCTGACCGGGAATCGAACTGGCGACCTCCTGGTGCATGGGGTCGACGCTCAACCACTGAGCCACACCGGCTGGGTGCACTATCACAGTTGAAGAGCAGCAGGTTTGCGGTGAAATGAGGGACAATGAGGGCAGTGTGGGGCTATGCTGACAACTGGGGGCCTGTTGGATGTCCAGATGGAGGGGACTCCCAGAAGCTGGGGACACATCCAGGAAAGAAGCAGAGAAAGGAGAGTTGTGCCACGTGACTGGGGACCTGGTCCCAGACAGCTGAGAAGGCGTTTGCTTGGAGGGAGCAGGGGGATAGGAGAGCGAGCACACTGCCATCCCGTCCCACCGGGCCGGAAGGACATTCTGTGTCACCCCTCATCGGTCAGTCTTCAGTCTGGGCGTGGGGCGAGCCGACTTGCAGACGCACACTAGGTCGTCCCAGGAGTGGCTCTTCAGCCCGGCCAGGTGTGTCCGCTGGGGGCCAAACCACTGCGGTGAACTGTTCTGAGAAATGGGTTCAACCAAATTGGAAGCCAAATGAGGTCGCACAAGAAGTGCGGCAGCTGTCCGCGGTAGTGGGAAGCAGGTCGGTGCAAGCCGCCCAGAGCGGATGAGAGTCTAAGACGTGAGTTGGGGCCAGGCCGTGTGCACAGGTGCCCCCTCCCCGCTGTCTGGCGCTCTGCATAGCAGGAGGGCCTGCAGGTTCCTGAGTAGCCTGTGCACCTTCTTTGATAAGCAAAAAAGTGGGGAGCTCACCTCTTTCACCCCGAGGATGGTCCTGAGGTGGGTAGAGAAGCATAAGTCTTCTTGTGATCTGCTGAGGATCATGCGTCCACCATCCCCAGGGAGGCATCTGCGGACTATTCATGGCTCTTCCCCGTGGCAAGACCCTCCAGGCTCTGTGGTTCCCGCAGGAGTAAGTCTGGACCCGTCCCCGATCCCTTCACAGTGTGGCCCCAATCTCCTCTGCAGACTCAAGTTCTGGTCTTCGGTGGTGTCATCAGCTTCCCGTGGGCCATAGCTTCCTTTTATCTCATTACACTGATGACCATGCGTGAGCATGCACACATGCACGTGTCCACACACACACACACACACACACACCCCTCATTCTTGAGCCCCACAGCTTCCTAAATGGCCTCTTTGCTTTTCCAAGTGTTTGCACATTTCCATCCGTCTCTGAGAGGCATCTCTCATGAAATCGCCTGGGGGTATCAAGACCCCATTCGAATGTCACCTTTCTTCTGTGAGACCTTTCCTAATCACCCAGCAAGGGACCTAGTCTCTCCCCTGTGCCCGTTGCACGGTTTATCCCTCCCCCTTTATGCTGCCCTTGCTGTACACAGCGAACAGAGCCTCCAAGGCCTGGCCTGGCCGGCTGCTGTCTCCCTCTCTCCCTGCACCTTGACGCATGGAAGGTGCTCTAAAGTGCATCTTCTCCCCGGCCTCAAACCTGGGCATGCAGTGTTTTACAGAAAGCCCCTACATTTCCCCTGAGTCCCCCCGTTGCCCATCTCGCGCCCGTCTGTGCTGCAGAAGGGGAAACTGGATTTCTCCAGGGTGCAGCCAGCCTCAGGACAGCTCGGCCTCTCCAGCTGGTGGTTGTCGTGGAAGAACGTTCCCCGAGCAGGGTTTGCTTGTCGAGGAGCAGGGGGGCCTGGCCGGGCCTGCGTTGTGCTTATGTTTAGACAAAGCGGTGAGACTAGAGGACAGGGTGTGGAAGAGTCTCTCGTGGGTGCAGGAGCTGCCCGGGAAGGGGCGCATCTCCGTGGGCATCGGGCCAGCCTGGCGACCAGGCCGGTGCGTGCAGTCCCGTCAGCGAGAACCCAAGAAGTCCATCCATTGGCTGCCGGCTCTTCCGGGCCTCTTGTAAAACATCCGCTGGGACAAAGGACATCGGAAAGGAACCTGATGCTTGAGTCTCAAGCTCACCATGAGCGTGGCCAACGCAAGCGAGGTGACATCACCCTCCCACGTGGAGACCATCGGGAACGCGCCCTCTATTCCCCAGCCTGGGTAGTTGAGCTGCAGAGTGGATTTCGGACCCAAGGGGAGCCTCTGCCCAAAGAAGGTGCTCCCATGAAGTGGCTGGGCGTGAGTCACCCTTCTGGGGGACTCGGGATGGTGGCAAGAATCAACCCATGGATGCCTAAATAAGCAAACCCATGTCTCTCTCTCTCTCTCTCTGAAATCAGTAGATGAAATTAAAAAGGTACAGTTCTATGTAAGTTAAAATCATGTTACATACTGTCCAACATGATGGGTCGGAACCGGGCTGGAGTTCCCTAGCCCACGCACAGCAGGCCAAGTCCGTCAGCAGGAGCAGAAAGCAGGGAGCCCTGGCCAGTGTTGCTCAACGGTTAGAGCATCAGCCTGCAGACCAGAGAGACCCGGGTTCGGTTCCCGCTAAGGGCACGTACCTGGGTTGCACTTTGGCCCTGGCCCCGGTTGGGATTGTGTGGGTGGCAGCCACTCGATGTGTCCCTTTCACATCAATGAGTCTCTCTCACATCCATGTTTCTCTCTCTCTTCCTCCCTCGCTCCCTCCCACTCTATCTGAAGATAAATGCAAAATTGTCCTCTGGTGAGGATTAAAAGAAAGAAAGAAATAAAGGCAGGGGTAGCTCGGTGGTGTTTCATGCTGTACCGTCACACAGACATCGAATGGGGGCCTTTGGGGTAGAAGGGGGTGCCCTTGCATCAGCCTGTGATGTGAACAAGGAGGTGCTCCCGCACATGTATATTTTAAGCCTGCTCCGGTCATGAAGAAACTTATCATGTGTGAATGTGAACACGTACGGTGTACAAGAGTCTCAGACCCTTGCATGTGTCATCATCTTGAGGCCTCACACCAAACCCTGTGAGGAAAGCTTCCTGTGTGTTTCTTGCATAGCTGGAGAAGCTGAGACATGAGAAGGTAGGACTTACCTAAGACTGGACAGCTAGTGAGTAGTAGCATCATGATTTTTTATTTTTAGTTTTTATCCTCACCTGAGGATATTTTTACATTTATCTGCAGATAGAGCAAGAGGGAAAAAGAAAGAGAGAGAGAAACATCAATGTGAGAGGGACACATCAATTGGTTGCCACCCGCATGACCCCAACCGGGGCTGGTGACGGACTACAACCGAGGTACATGCCCTTAGCGGGAACCAAACCCGCGACTGTCTGGTCCGCAGGCCGACACTCTAACCGCTGAACCAACCAGGCCAGGGCAGCGTCATGATTTTAACACAGACAGTCTGGCAGCTGAACCTGCTCTCCAAGGAAAAGTGTCTCTTCAAAGACCTGTAAGGGCATTTAGAGGTCACGTGGCAATGCCCTGTGTCTA